TCGCACGGTGCCTCGTCAAGATCCAAACTCTCGCGCCAGATCGGCGAGCGCTCTCCGAGCAGCTCGGCTGCCGCTAATCCCGGCCGCGGCGCACCGCGTCGATCAGCGCGGTGCACCCCCAGCCGAGGCCGCCGGACGGAATGGTCCAATGGCCGCGTTGCAGCAGCGTCCACCATGATAACGGCACATGCGCCCTCCGCCCCTAGTCCGAGGCCATCCGCCAGCAGATGACACTGCGATTCAACCCCTGCTCGCTCCTCTCGCTCGCCGGCCGACCCTCTTCCCGCGCCCTCTCCATCCCTCTCGTCCCCATCGGCTGTGTCCCATCCGAGTGGCCATCACGCGGCCACGAAAATACGAGCGATAATACGCGGATCCCCGAGCGTCGCCATCCCGTCGATTCCGGTGAGTAACTCTTCCCGCCGAGCGGACGCGCCCGGCGCTCTGAAATCGCTCGCGGAAAACAAAAGGCCATCGACGGCCGCCGCGGTACGCGAAGCCTAGCAGCCGGCTGGCGACATATTGATTCGACCCGGTGCGAGTTCGCCGCCTAGTGTGAACATACCGTGAATCCCGTCGAACCGCAGGGATAATTCGGTTCGCGGGTCTCGCCGGCGTCCCGAGTACTCGCGAGCTAACGATCCTCCGAGCCGACACAGTCGATCGGCTAACCTGGTGCAACGGGCGCCGCGGAGCGAGAGTGCGCCAGTCGATCGGCCATTACGAGCGTAGGGCGTGCGGTAGTTGCGACGCAGTTGGATTGTTCTTGGTGTCTCGAATCCCTAGACCCTTCGAAGGCCTGAAGCTTGTCGAGAGGTAGGTGAATATCCAGCCGCTAACCTAGCTCGAAGGGATCGCGATCGGTTGAGCATCGAACCTTAGCCTGTTGGGAAGTTTAGCCCGCGAGCTAGACGTTGCGAAATGGCTGCTGGCTATTATTAGAAAAGGCCGTTGCCTATCTACGGTTGACAGTGTCCCGCGATTGCGAGATTCAGTACGATATCGATCGAGCGTTGGGTCGCGGGGCATCTTCCAGGGGACCTGGAATCCAGGCTCTCTCCGCCGGTTTCTTTTTTTTCTCCGGGGCTCGACCGAATAAACGCGCACACTCGTATTTTCGACGCGGGCCGCGTGTCGTCCGTTCCGGCGAATCAATACCCTTCAGGGTCCGCCGGCCAGTCTTCGTTGACACGTAAATATTAATTGTCCCCGCCGATATAGGCGGCGATCGCGTGCAACGAACCCTGCGCGTCCGGGACCGGGTTTCCGAGACGCGACCTCCGTAAGACACCGGTCCGCGAGGAATCGTCTCGTTGTCGGATCGAAGGTAATCGCGACACGGTAATCCAATATTTACCCTGCCGGAATAATGCGATGGGATCGATAGCTGGACTCTCGCGAGTTCCTCGGAGAGGATAGATCGGTCGCCGGTGTTACGCGAGTGTTTCGGGAGTTGAGTCTATCGATCTGTCTCAAGGAAGCTGTGTCTTTTGTTTGTTTTGGATGTGGATGCTTGGATGGCGTACGTGCGACGGCTGCTTTTGTGTGAGGTTTCGTTAGTGGACGCTGGTTTTCTGATGTTGAGGCGAATGAGGTCTGCTTTTTAGCGAATTGGATTTGAATGTTACTTGGTTTGTAAACGATGCGACATGGGATTTGACCCTTTGAACTCTGTGGGCTCTAATATTGCACCAGTTATATCAAATATTTTAACGAGTCAGAGAAACTACCCTGAAATTATTAGATTTTCCACACTTCCAAATTTTGTGCTGAGGAAAATAGAAGATCGAAGGAATATTATAGCATTTCTCATTTCACTAGAGATACCATGAAAATTAGTCGCAGTTGCTGATAAGTTACAAAATCATCCGGAGTGCTGAGGGTTAACAGTAGGACTATCGTACCGGTCAGAATGACTGGTTTCGATTCTTTTTTTCGGCAATTATTGATATCTTCGAAGCATTGAATCTTCGAAATTAGTTGATTAATTAATCTAGTAATTCCGTTTCCAAACCCTTTCTTAACTCTTTATACTCCAATAATTTGTCGCTAGAAATATTCAATATATTTTTATGAGATACAGACGACATTTTTTCAAACTAACTTAACGAGGGATCATTAACAATGGTATTTCATTTCCACATTTCACGTATAGGTTACTCGAGACTTAATGTTAACACTAGAACCAGCGTACCAGTCAAAAGTGGTTTCGACTTTTTATTTAGCAATTATCGATATCTTCGAGGCATTGAATCTTCGAAATGATTTTGAAAATAGTTTCATTTACAATAGGTTCAGTTACAATTTTCATGGGAATTGCATGTTAATCGTATTAAATGCTCGGTAGTTCTAGTGTTAACCCTTTGCACTCCAAAAGTTTTCCACCAAAAATACCCAACACTTTCCGGTGAAATGTAGTTAACATTTCTTAATGAAATTTGAGATAATATACGTCGCGGATTATTCCGCTTAAGAATGCTAATGGGTTGAACTACGAAGTGGAACAAACCAAGACTAACTTCATTTCTTTCCGTTACGTAAATGGTTATCTTTCAAGTCATCGATTCTCCGATGAGTTTCATTCATTTCTCTCGTGTTCGTTAAGTATTTTAATTAATTATCTCTTGATTAATATTTTTGAGATTTTAATCTGTTTTTTTAGAGATCGTAATTATTTCATGAGGTTTTTAGGTGATTTATTTTAAAAATAATATTTAATAAGGAGTCATCATTTATGGGGTCTTCGGTTCGTTTAATTTCTATTCTAAGCGTCGGAAGTATGGATGAATAATTTTAATAGGCCGATAAAAATACTTCTCTATGTCTTAACACTTCTATATATAAACGGTGTTTTATTATTACAAACCTTCTTTGCAAACTGAATGCTGGAATTCAATTTTCCAATGAAGTGGAAGCACTGCGTGATTACTTGAGGACGTGCCAACAGTTGCAGCATCCTCTCGTAGCATTGTTGCTTGTATACAGTGTGCAGATGTACATTGTCAGAAGACGACTTTCGCTGTTTAAGAATTCGTGTCTTTAATTTTCTACGAGCAAGTCGGGAAGTATTTTCATCAACGCAATGGCGACTGCAATAATCATTTCGGAAATTCTTAATATTGAAAATGTAGCTGTCAACCATCAATAATATTAGTATTTCTATCAACGCAATGGTGACTGAAGTAATAATTTCTGAAATTCTTAATATTAAAAAATGTAACTGTCAACTATCAATGATACTAGTATTTTTATCAACGCAATGGCGACTGCAATAATCATTTCGGAAATTCTTAATATTGAAAATGTAACTGTCAACGATAAATAATATTAGTATTTTTATCAACAGAAAAATGGCCAAGATAATAATTTCTGAAATTCTTAATATTGAAAATGTAACTGTCAACTATCAATAATACTAATATTTCTATCAACAGAAAAGTCACCAAAATGATAATTCCTGAAATTCTTAATATTATAAATGTAACACTGTAATAATTTAACATTTTGCTTCACAAAGCGAAATCACCAGTGAAATGTTCAGAAATAATTCTGTTACCTGACTATAGTGTAGTGGCCGTATAAATCTAACATCACAGATTGCTTAATACTTGGAAGACGGACACTTTTAACGACGTCGCAGACAGTGTATACTACTATGTAGAAATATTTATTGCGTCAGTCAAATGTTAAACATATTATCAATTATATATCTCGTTTGAATAACATTAGATACAGGGAGGAGAAATATATATATTACATATATTATTAATTATATATTTTTATATTTAGAAATTTTATATATATATATAATTAATTACATATTTTTATATTTAGAAATTTTACATATATAATTAATTATATATTTTTATAATTAGAAATTTTATATATATAATTAATTATATATAATTGAAGTTATATATATAAACTATATACATAATATATAGTTAACATAATAAACAACAGTACAATTACCAGAAAAAATCGAACTATCCAATCAATTAATCAAATAATTATTACAAAATCATTTCAATTTTTCCATCATTCATTTCCGCAGTTCTCAAGACAGCTACTTTCCAATTTTTCATTTTTTAATTAAATCCAATCGACCGATAACTCAAAAAATTCCATTTCACATCGATAATGTTCGTTTTCCGTAAATAAAACAAATGATATTTATGCAACGCGTTTGCCTGGCAAATAAAGCCAGTAAAACTCGTACATAGCTGCGTTTGTAACGAGCTAGTAGTATAGGGCCAGATATGGTCAGCCCGGCGCAACCGGTTACAGTATCTCGCCGCAAATTAATCTTCCTGTGTATTTCCGTCAGTCGGGCCCGATAACAAATAGTATTCCGTAATATCGAATTTCACTCAATCAAAAGCCGACGTGTGCGGTTAATTGTGCGGGATTCAAACAGGACGTTGCAATTATACATTACGAATGAAATCGTTAAAATTTCCGGCAAAAGTGATTCTAGGTTCGTTAACGATAACCTCGATTCGTCTTAAATTAGATCGTGAATCAATACGCCTATCCAGTCGGTTATACATAAAAATGTTTATTAACACGTCGAACGCCGCACGATTTCATAGAGCAAAATACACAAAATGGAAAAAATATAATATTGAATCATTTGATTGAACCGCGTTATTATTATTGCACGCTTGCTCAATATCACCGCGTTCGGAAGCGTTGTTTATAATACAGAAATGTTGTCGAATAATTTCATCTAATAATCATTCAGTTGAAATGAACTATAGTAATTCGATTTGGTTGGGGCTCACCGGTGACCCCCACAGCATTCAACGTGTTAACCCTTTCATCACTCACCAATTGACTTCATACAGTGAAACTATAAAATTTGATACTTAATATTAAACTTCGTGCACTGCATCAATTCGAGAAATATTCAAACAAAATAGCTTTGTCCCTCGATGTGTGATTCCTCGTCGAGTTAGCTTCACGAAATATCCTATCTCATCAGAAGACGTTAAAATCTAAAAAATTTCCGAGTGCAAATGGTTAATACGTCGAATGCCGCACGATTTCATAGAGCAAACTACACAAAATGGGAAAAATCAAATATTAAATCATTCGATTGAATTGCATTACTATAATAGCACATCCATCTATCTAAACGTCACCTCATTAGGTAGCATTATTTATAATACAGAAATATTTTCGAATAATCATCGTTTAATTGAGCGAACCGAAGTAATTCGCTTTGACTGATCCTCACCGAGAAACAATTCCAAACGAAACTCACACCATTGTCTCCGTTCCAGGTGAATAAAGCCTCGCCATGGGTAAGGAGAAGATTCACATAAACATCGTGGTGATCGGGCACGTGGACTCCGGCAAGTCCACCACGACCGGTCACCTGATCTACAAATGCGGCGGCATCGACAAGCGTACCATCGAGAAGTTCGAGAAGGAGGCGCAGGAGATGGGCAAGGGTTCCTTCAAATACGCCTGGGTGCTGGACAAGCTGAAGGCGGAGCGCGAGCGCGGCATCACGATCGACATCGCCCTCTGGAAGTTCGAGACAGCGAAGTACTACGTGACGATCATCGACGCGCCGGGGCATCGCGATTTCATCAAGAACATGATCACCGGGACAAGTCAGGCCGACTGCGCCGTGCTGATCGTGGCGGCCGGTATCGGCGAGTTCGAGGCGGGGATCTCGAAGAACGGCCAGACTCGCGAGCACGCTTTGCTCGCGTTCACTTTGGGCGTGAAGCAGCTGATCGTCGGCGTGAACAAGATGGACATGACCGAGCCGCCGTACTCCGAGAGCCGTTTCGAGGAGATCAAGAAGGAGGTGTCCTCCTACATTAAGAAGATCGGCTACAACACCGCGTCGGTCGCGTTCGTGCCGATCTCCGGCTGGCACGGCGACAACATGCTGGAACCCTCGCCGAAGACGCCGTGGTACAAGGGGTGGAAGGTGGAGCGCAAAGACGGCAACGCCGACGGGAAGACGCTGATAGAGGCGCTCGACGCCATTCTGCCGCCGTCCAGACCGACCGACAAGGCTCTGCGTCTGCCTCTTCAGGATGTGTACAAGATCGGCGGTATCGGCACTGTGCCGGTCGGTCGTGTCGAGACTGGCATTCTGAAGCCTGGTAGGTTGTAACACTGACAAGATGTTGTAATAAGTCATAAGTTCGTGACCTGATAGAAGAGATGGTGAAGGGAAACACTTATCTTGTTAACAATATAGTTCCCTTAACACGTTCCGAACCATCTTTTTAAGACTCCCTTCAGGCCGTATGGGGCGTGTGCGACCCACATTTTTACAATCCATTGAAATTGAATAACCGCGATATACATAATATTAAAATATCTTTGACTCTAGAATAAATTTTTAAGAAGTTGTTCGTTTTTCAATGAGACTTCATTTTCGAAGTGAATATCTTGGGTCACGAACTTATGGATGTAACTTTGAAGTCACGTATCAGTATATTGCATCTTGTTTCATTTTGCATTGACAGTGGTGATTAAAATTAAGTAATCGGCTAACTTTTATACGCTGAGGCGTGGAAGTTTGTCGTTGGAACTTGAAAGTTAGGAAATATATTCGTTTGATGAAATTATTGAAACTATTGAATAGATTGTTAGTTAGTATTCATATGTAGATATTTATTAATTTTGTACTGTATAGATTTTGTTATAATTGTGAAAAAAAATTCGACTCATAGAGGGATAATTAGACTGTTGATAGTTTGGCATTTTTGATGAAGTTAAAGATGAAAGTAACGTGTCGAGATTTGACGTGGCTTAATTGTAGGTTGTAGTTATGCAGTTGAGGTTGATTTTTAATACTATAACTATTGAGGATTCAACTCTTTGCACTCGAAAGTTTTTCACTAGAAATATTTTATTTTCTGATGAGGTGAAGGTATGTCATTTGAATAATTCTCAAATTGATGACGAGGTATACCAAAAAAAGTAGGTAATTCCATTAAAAAAATTAATGCCATTTAAACCCCATGTTTTAACGTTTTCACAAACTACCATTAACACGTTCGCTAATTTCGGTGACGGTCTCCTCAATTATAATATTTCCTTCAATCCAGTAAATCTAAACAAAATAGAAAACAAACTGAAACGAGTCATTGAGTTCCTAAATATAATGTAGTTTATAGTTTCTGATCACAATAATAGGATTAACTTCATTTTCATTATGTAAAGAAAACTAAAACCGAAACAAGTCATCGAATTCCTAAACATAACGTAATTTACCATTTCCAATAACAATATACATACAATTTCATTTCCATCATGCAAACCATAAGATTACAACCGTCGCAAATCACGCTAATAGCGAACGCGTTAATTATTCGAGATGATCGAGATAGCCACATCACCCTACACACAGCGCTATTCTTACACGTCGAGATTACAAAGTAATAAGCCTCTTTAGAACAAAGTCTCCAGCGTGGTTCAGATATCTGTCCCACGCGATCTGCCAGCGCATTTTCTAGAGGCGATCGTCGCGTGTACACGTTTCTGTCACGCGACCGTTTGGTTCCGCAGGTATGCTGGTGACATTCGCTCCGACAGCTCTGACGACCGAAGTGAAATCCGTCGAGATGCACCACGAGGCTCTGACGGAGGCGATGCCCGGCGACAACGTCGGCTTCAACGTGAAGAACATCTCCGTGAAGGAGCTGAGACGCGGTTACGTCGCCGGGGACTCGAAGAATCAGCCCCCGCGAGGGGCGTCCGATTTCACCGCGCAAGTGATCGTGTTGAACCATCCCGGACAGATCAGCAACGGCTACACGCCCGTGCTCGACTGCCACACCGCCCATATCGCCTGCAAGTTCGCGAAGATCAAGGAGAAATGCGACCGCCGTACGGGCAAGACTACCGAAGAGGATCCGAAGAGCATCAAGTGCGGCGACGCGGCGATCGTGATGCTGGAGCCGACCAAACCGATGTGCGTCGAGGCGTTCCAGGAGTTCCCGCCGCTGGGACGCTTCGCTGTGCGCGACATGCGTCAGACCGTCGCCGTTGGCGTCATCAAAGTAAGCGTTTCTTTGACTCGTTTGAGGTGCAGGTTGTTTTGTGATCTATCCGCACCTGCAAGTTTTTATTGTATTGCTGGCTGTAGGGAGCGTTTAAATTAATGTAAATCGTATGAATCATGTGATCGTATCATGTAAATCATATGATTCATATCATGTAAATTATATAAATCATATGAATCATATTATGTAAATTATATAAATCATATAGTCATATCATATAAATCATGCAAGTTATATAAATCATATAAATCATATGAATCATAGAATCATATCACATAAATCACATAACCATATCATATAAATCATATGAATCATATAATCATATCATATAAATCATATGAATCATATAGTCATATCATATAAATCACATAATCATATCATATAAATCATATGAATCATATAATCATATCACATAAATCACATAACCATATAATCATATCATATGAATCATATAATCATACCATATAAATCACGTAATCATATCATATAAATCACATAATCATATCATATAAATCATATGAATCATATCATATAAATCATATGAATGATATAAATGAACCGATATAAACCACACAATTGAACTGTTCACAGAGTGTCACCTTCAAGGATACCCAGGGCAAGGTCACAAAGGCCGCGGAGAAAGCCCAGAAGAAAAAGTAACCATCAAGCTTCCTCGGAAGCTCGCACTCCGCTGGCTGTCGTCCGCCGTGCGTCCCCGCGAGGGGTTACTCCGCAAGGGCGCAGTACGCCGCGGTTGCTCCATTCAACTCATATTCAACTAATAATACCAAAAGTGAAAAAATGTTGTGCTTACCCCCGTTACATTATCCGGTAGTGTTGAATCCGCGCATCTATCCGAATCTGCACATTCAGTTCACCCATGCCCCGCGCACACCCCACATATGCTAGGTGAAATTCTTACGTTTTTACTCATTCTTACATTGACGATGATATGTGTCCAGTTACAGGTAATACTCAGTTCCCTTGGACTCTGTGTAGTTAGGTTTTTCAATTACATACACACACAGACACACACATGTATACACGCAAACCAAAAAACAAACGAACACACACACGCGCGCGCGCGGTACATTACGGTACACACCAAACGACGAGACGGGATGATGATGATGATGATGATGATCGTGCGACGAAACGAAACATCGAGGCAGCGGTCGACACATCTACGATTTCCACTCGATCAGATATCCACCCCTTAAATCGCGCCGAATCACACCGGGACCGTGAAAAAAAAGAAAAAAGAACCACGCAACGATCGAGATCTATCCTACCGACGCGCCGGTATGATCCAGCTCATTCACCGCGATTAACACGGACACAACACACATCGCTGCCTCGCATCCCCGACTTTTGTCATCGATTCATTTCGAAGGATTCGTTAAGGCTGATTTCGTTGAAGACTTGGTTGCCTCGCTGCAATTAATTTTATTACTTCTATAAGATTGTATTTATCTTTAGTTAGGGATCATTAGACTGTCTCCCTCCCGACCCTTTCGCGACCCGTGCAAACCTCACCCGCGACAAAGGGGGAACGAACGAGTTACCCTTTGGTTAATTAGCGGGTCCCGATTCACTGGTTGCCTGTGTTAATCTCAATACCCCCCGATAGACGCGTTCTACAATTGTTTTGACCCTTAGCCAGTATTATGTTGATGTAATAAAAAAAATTTTAATTGCAACCCCCAGTCTTTTTCTCTTTGCGCCCCTTCGACACTTCGACTGCCACGTCACGCGGATTTCGGTGACGCTGTTTTTCATGGAAACTTGGATATTCATTTTCTTGGTGACGCGTTGAACGAACCGAATTTTGGGTATATGAGATATGAGAAAGATAGTGGAGTAATTAACACGTTCAAATTAAAATGAAAATCCTATTTATTATTGAAATTAATCCTATGGATATTTTCCTATGGTTATTAGAAATGGTAAACGACGTCATATTTAGGAACTCAATGACTCGTTTCAGTTTCATTTTTATTTACATAATGAAAATGAAATTAATCCTATGGATATTGTCATTGGAAATGATAAACTACATTATATTTAGGAACTCAATGACTCGTTTCAGTTTCATTTTTATATTTTAGATTTATTGTTTAAATTTATTGGATTGAAGGAACTATAATTGAGACCGTCACCGAAATAAGTGCTGGTAGCGAACGTGTTAAGAATCTTGATTACTCCGTTTCTGGTTAATGAAGAAAACTGTTTTGAATACGTGGGAGTTTTGATTATGTGGCGAAGTGTTAATGGATAATTGTTTGAGCAGATGGATCTGTGACGTGGAATCTTTCTTATTGGAAGTACCAAATAACATGCAGGTGTGCAAGTTTTATTGAAGTAGAATATTTGAGAGACTATAGTGGGACAACTGAGAAAAATATTTGTGAAAATTTGGATAGACTTAAGCTGGAAAATATTTGGTACATATATTTTTTATCTACAATCGTTCATACTGAAGGATTTATTATGTCCTAGTAATGGTTGAGAAATTTAATGAGCTATTGGCAAAGACGTTTCAAATATTGAATACATAGTCAATCTGAAATAGTAATTTTGAGTTTCTTGATAAAAGTAATAGGTAAGAGATGTTTCATTGATAAAAAGTGATGCTAGAATGCATAGTCAATCTGAAATAGTAATTTTGAGTTTCTTGATAAAAGTAATAGGTAAGAGATGTTTCATTGATAAAAAGTGATGCTAGAATACATAGTCAATCTGAAATAGTAGATTTGAGTTTCTTTATAAAAGTAATAGGTAAGAGATGTTTCATTGATGAGAAGTGACGCTAGAACAGGAAATCATTGGATAAGAAGACACCGTGAAATATTCCAGGTAGACAGGAGAAAGACACTCTTATGGTAAATATAATTTATTCCGCATAAATTCTTCATTAACGTTACAACTAGACATGGTATGTACAAATATATATTTAATGCAATGATCTTACAAGAATTTAGTGTAATGCAGGTCTTGGTCAGTCTTTAATTGCTGAGGCCCGTTCTGCCGGGGCGTCAAGCAGCTTCGATCCTCGTTTGCGATCGAACACGTGACACATAATTAGTCGCAAAAACTAAACACTTTCTTCTTCATCTTCGTACATACGGGACTAATCACATAAATTGGAATCGATTAAAACAAAATAGTGTGTAGGCACTTCTCTCGGCCACCTAACGTCTCAGAAAATAGAATTTCGTCGGTCGACCGAACACATTCTATGCGCGCGAACCGTTTCAACGTTCCAACCGAAGACACTTGGCAAGGTCGTTCGTA